GTCTATACTGAAATATATGAAAACGCGAAACGGTCTTATTGAAAGTTTTTTATTTTAAGTGAAGATGGTTTTCGAAGAGTATGTTAGTAGATTGATTCTGGCATACCATTCACTTCGTTTGAAAGGGCGGGTGGTATGGATCGGTGAATTGGATCTACCGGCAACCGGAGGATTGCCTTGGGCTCGTGACTGTTGGATTGTGTGAAGACCTCGGCACACCATCATGAGACCCCGATAAAATCGTGCTGAGCTTACATCCATCATGTGACGAACATCGACAGTCAGAAAGCACTATTTATGAACAATCACCAAAAGACACTAAACTAAGAAAGATGGATTGCTGAAATTCTATATCATAAACCTCACCTTGCACCCGTCAAACGAAATAAAAAGTATGCCAGCATTAATTTTTTCAGAAGTTGTTTGACTTTGTTTTCGCAACTTGGCCATATTGGTAGAAGACCTAGATGAACCAACTAGTTTGGAGTCCATAGCATGAATAACAATTTCCAGAGTCGGACCGTGGACGTGGTAAATTCCCAGGCGTTCTGCCGGCATCGTCAGTGAGCTTTCTCATTCTTAATACCACATTACAACTCATCAAAGAGATAAGTGAAGCCGATTCTTTGACCAATTGTGGTATTTATCCTTCTGCCCGGGGCTATTCACCAATCCTATGTTCTCGTATCACCCCTTCACTAGCAAAATTTCTTATTTAAATGTGGTATGGCGAGCATCCAGGATATCCTCTTCTTGCTCTAACACCTCCAGCAAGGTGCCTAATTCCTCCTCACCTGAGGCGTTTGGGTACATGGATTGTACATCGAAACTTACCAACAATTCCGTCCCCACCAGCCCAATATTTTGGATCCTTTGAGAAAATTCATATGGGCTGGTAGAGACGGAATTATTTATAAGTTTCGATGTACAATCCATGTACTCAAACGCCTCAGATGAGAAGGCAGTAAGCGCATTGCTGGAGATAGTGGAGCGAGAAGAGGATATCCTGGAGACAGAACGTTACGGAAGGAGTCGTTAACGCAACTGACCAGCCTGGTAGAAAGGACCACATATTTTACATTTAACGGCAGTATCTAAAAACAAATATTTGGACTACCGATGGGATCTCCACTCTCACCTCTTTTGGCAAATGTGTACATGGATAATTTGGAAAGGGAATTCGAAAAGTCATCACTGCAACAAAGAGAGTTTATGCGATACTTGGATGACTATTTTGCACTTTGGTCACATGGTAAGGAACATCCAAATGAATTCCTCAATTTCATTAACCAACTTGATGAAAGAATTAAACTTGCAATGGAGGTAGGGGAGGATGAACGTCTACCTTTTCTGGATATTGAAGTCATGCTCTCCAACAGGACACTCTTGAGGAGACTGTACAGAAAGAATCCATATGCGTGAACAATCCATAATTTTCAGTCTCAGCATAACTACCGACTGAAGATCGGAATACAGAGGAGTTTGATCATCAAGAGCTTACAATTAACGGAAACTGAGTTCTGGGATGAGGAGTTGGACAAAGTGACTCGGATCTGCCTTAGTAGCTGATACCCCAGAGAATTTATAGAAAAAATCTAGAGCAGATTACAACTTGGATTTTATAAAAGTCCGATCAGGAATCCGGACAACCAAAAGTGGATATGCCTGTTCTCTTGTCAACTGAGCGATAAATTGCGACAGTTACTAAGAAATGGAATATTAAGCTGATAACAAAGAAGATAACACTTTCACCAGTCTGCCGACGCAACACGAGAAAACTGGCAAACTGGATTGGTCGGGAGATTATCGCATCAAATGCGGCAACTGTGAGCAGAAGTATATCGGTGAGACAAGAAGAAAAATGGGCATACGAATCAAGGAACATCAAAGACTCTGCAGGAATATGGATACGAAAAGATCTGAAAGAGCGGAACATATTGCACGAACGGGGCACGAAATCGACTGGAAATCGACCGAAAAATTGGCTGCATGTGGTGAAAATACGAGAAAACGCAAGATCCGAGAGGCCATCGATATACTGACCGAGATAAATTTAATTAACATGAGACTTGAAGAAGGCAGGATCAGCGAAAACTTTGCGTATTGCCTAAACAAACTCGGAGAAGACCATGTACAAGTAACATATGCAAAAAGAAGACTAGTGAATCAAGGTAACATCTTTAATTTAATTTAATTTAAGAAAAGAAATCGCGAGGAGACCGGAAAGGAATAATCAGAAGCCAAGAGATATCTACAATGAGCATAATCAAAACAGATAGAACCACAAAATTTGTTAGTTGGTACCCAAGAGATTAGGGCAAAGAATGCTATAGACTTGGTATTATGGATAGAAACAGGAGACGTGGTGGAGACTAAAGCTATTTGGCTAACAATAGACGTGTTTGATCATAGACGAGGTCCATGAAGCACGTCTATTGTTGGCCGACTAGCATCTATTCCGTTTTTACCCCTAATACCATGTCTATGACTTGCTATTCCCTAGTCTCTGCAGCCGGTTGGATTTTATACGATATTCATGTTGACGCAGTCCACTGGACTTCCTCCTGGGCCTAGTGTTAACATTTGACTTTTACAAGAATGACGCCCAGCTCTGATGATGTCCATCATATGATGGACGAAAGCTCAGCACG